ATTTAAGAACAATTCACATGAAGCTTCTCGAACATTTACTGGAACAGCAACAGAACTCTATTCCCAAGCAAAGACAAAGTTAACTCTACTGCCACAAGTTGCTTTGGGAATGTGCATCTTAGATCTGAAAGTAATTTTCTGTCTTAATCCTCCCTCCAAAATTAAATAGGAAGTTTGTACAGCATTTCACCTTCCACCTCCAAGGATGACGTTCATCAGAAATCAGAGAGCTTGATTCTTTCAAACTAGTACTACAGACCTTAAAGGAAGAGAGAGAGAGAGAGACAGAGAGACAGAGACAGAGAGAGAGAGAGAGAGAGAGAGAGAAGCAAGATGATGGGACAGTCAGAGAATAGAAACCAGATGTGTCAAGGCAAAAATCCTTTAGAAAGGGACTAGGGGAAAAGTACTCTAGGAAAGTCACCTCTGAACAAAAGCAGCTTGTTTTTTACAGTCAATAAATTAGATTATTTTATGCCTTACATTGTATATGTGCATTACAGAGAAGTAGGGTACACAGCATTTTATTTTAAAATAAATGCTATACTGTTACATATTGTTCCTTTAATATACCCCTTTTAACAGCTTGCAAGTTTTCAGTGTTATAATGTATGCAATAATGTCTCCTCCATTTACTTCCTCATCTATACCATTTAACAGATCCAGAATTTTTACAAAAGCAATCATAAGAGAAACACTAGCAAAATGTATATTGAAGAAGAGTAAACAATACAGTTTCATAATACTATGTTTCTTTAAGGTAGCATTTACTTAGCTTAGGTTAATCAGTTAAGAGGATTATTAATTTCCTATGTAAAAAAGAACCTGTCAAAATGTGCTTACTTGAAATTGTTGAGCATTGAAATCATGCAGACTTTTGCTCACCTGATTAATAGGTAGAAAAGGATGAAATTTATGAAGAGCAGGTGTAACAGGAGAGTAAGTAGAAGCATATACAGGTTCCTATGACAAGGACAGAAGCAAAGCAAAGGAATTAGAAAAGAACTGGACTATCAGAAATGAAGATGTGGGGAAATAACTCATCTTCCCCTAATTTCTTAAAATGAAGTAAGTTGAATCATTTAACCTTCTAGAAATGGAAAGCCAGAGATCAAAAATGTTGTCATAGTACAACAGCATGTTTACCAAAGCCATTCCATGAAGGAATTAAACAAGTTAGTAACAGTATTGCTACAACTCAACACGGAATGAAACAGCACAGCCAGAAGATACACTTTTCATATGCTGATAATTTTTATGTCTCTGTTTTCATGCACCGTTAAATTGACGAACCATGTCAACCACAATGGGAATAATTCTGCTGCAAGTTTAATCAGACTCTGCTAAATAACAAGCTGTGATAGTTTAACTATCAGAGCCATCTATTTTCTGGATGAAAGGAAAGAATGCTTACTGAAACTGGGATACTCAAAAGCCATCTTGAGGGAATTGCTAAACCCACAGCACTCAGTGAAGGCGAGTTCACTATTCTAAACAAAGCCTACAAATAGCCCCTGCCTCAGCGCTGGGCTTCCCCAAAGCTGATTAGACATGGCTTTATCATCTATAATACTTCTTCCTTTCTATGGGTTAAAGCAAATGTGGAACATCACACACAATATGTGTAAATGCAGCTCATTAAGAGTGGCTTAAAATGAAGCCTAATCATTAGTTTCAGCTTTGATTAGAGCTGGATACAAGCACTTGGTGGATGCTATATATGAAATGGATAAAACTATTACCACAGCAAGAGACTAATATTTTGTCTAAAGGTTACTTTTTAAGGGCTTACCTCCTTTAAGATTTTTACAGACTCATCTCTGAGTAATTTTGAATTGACTGTTCAGCCCTAGCCTTTCACACCAGTGCTGAGCTGCAATTTGAACTTGCTGTAATAATTAAGTGCATTTCAAATGTCATTCACTGCTTTCATGTGACTGTAATGGCGCTGGTAATCACACTAATCAGGGACTCTGTTAAAAATGGTTGACTATAAAATAAGAATTTTCATTCCAGTAAATCTTGCTACTAAGGAAAGATTTTCAAGTTAGTTAATGTTTCTACCCATGAAAAAGCCCAACATACTGGAAGTCTTCCATCCAACCTAAGATGATGAATACAAATACATTAAATCCAAAATATTTTTCCCAAATAAAAGGGATTTTTGTTCCAGTAAGACATTCCTCCTGATGTTAGAGCTATTCTTTGAATCGTCCAAGTATGTTTTACTGTACATATTAATATTTTAAGAAGTCTCACAGCTTCCAACAAATTTTCCTCCTATGTGCAGCAATCGTCAAAGCATATGTTGGACCTGCAAGTAAATTTCAACTTCCCCTCTCATCTGTATCTCCTTGAGTTAATTCCTTATTCCCTTTTTCCTCCCATTTGAGGTTGCTCTGTCAGCTTTTCCATTAATTTTATGGGGTTTTTTCCTACAGTTTAGCCCACACATAAATGACTATAAGACTTTTAGAGAAATATCTCACCATGCAGACACCTTTGCAGAAGAATTTTGAGTAGAAGTGATTAAACAGCACTATTTAATATAATTATTTTATTAAGAGCATGAGTCTGTCAACTTTTGTTGTTTATAAGAAAGCTAATAACTTCTATTTTATACAGCTAGGCTTCAGTAATCAAATCCACAGAACAAGTTAGATAATCTTTAAGACACACACACACAAAAGAAAACCTAAAAAAGTGTCTGATGGCATTAACAGGGGTGACATACTGCAACTAAAAACTTCAGGCACTATTTTGAACCAGTAGGGCATGACAGAAGTTCACACGCCCTTGTGTTATGCCATGACTGCCATGTGTGGAAATTGTAGTTTAACTAGCTCAAAGCACAGTAATCAGAACAATTCCTGCATTTAATTGCAATCCAGCAGCATAAAGCATTAGGATTCTTAAGTACATTGTAGTCTCAAAGGTCTTTTACAAATAGAGACTTCAGTGGCACACTGCTTCATAGTCCTCAAAGGATAACCGCCATCACATTGATTAATTATCAATAATAGTAGTTCCAGATTTAAAGGCAGCTAACATGGCATGTCGTAAGCGGTGTGGTCAACTTCGTGAAGCTTTAATTTATTTATCATGTATCCCACAATGAATCAGCATCACAAATATCAATCCAGCTGAGAGAGTTGTGCATCTAATAAGAATAATTTTTTTACATACAAATAAAAGATTTCACCCGTCGGCAGATATACAAATCCTTTGATTTAGGCTTTAAATAGCCACCAGCTAACATGAACCAACAGAGTGAGTGACCCAGTGTCACAAAAACTCCCACTGCTAGCACTGTCACTTCAAAGCTTGTACCCTTCAAGCACTTCATGCCCACTTACTTGCTTTAAAAGCTTAACTTGTGCTATGATGAGTGAAGCTGCTGCACATGGTAACACAGCAGGGAGGATATGGGTGCTGGGGATTGAGAAGAGAGAACAAAGGTTTTGTCTCTGCCTAAATCTTGGCAGCAGCTTAAAGCTTTTTCTCAACCCCATTGTCTTTAGCTAGAGTACATTTGTTATCTGATCTCAACAGTTGTCATTTTGGAGACTAGCCTGTTAAAAGTGTGACCACAATTTTGCTTTCCTCACTGTAACTATTTTTGCTTTAGTACATCTTTCAAATAAGCAACTGGGTCTTTGAGCAAGTCCACTGGGCAAAACCAAAACAAAATCCATAAACAAAACTACAAAAAATCAGCTTTCCTGATTGCCTCTCTGTCCAGTTAACACACAACCACTGACAAGTCACATGTTCAGGCACAGATTTACCCTCAGTGACAGTCTGTGTTAAACAACTCCTTACTTGTAGTACACTGATGGAACAGGAGACTTCTTGTTATTGTTTGCCTCTATGATTTTATAGAAGCAGCATTTTCACAACTACATAACTGGATCCAAAGATTACTGTTCCCACTAGTAAAATATATAACACAAATTTTATCTTCATTTGTCCTCTATTAAAATACTCGAAAAATTAAAGGCTTTTGAAGCAGCCTATTTTATCCGACACTGTCATTTTCAAAATACTAGACTCTGAATGAAAGCAAGTCTACGTTAGTCCTGTAGTTTGAACCAGCAATCCGTTTTGAAGGAACTCTCCCAGTCACCCTTACTTTCTGTGCTTTGGTTCACACTGCAGAATGCACAGATTTTTGGATTAAACTAAGCCCTGAAGCACACTCCTGGATTCCCATGTAACACCATGGCTGCTAACAGGCAGTCAGGCTACGAGAGCAAAACAAGCAAGTATGGCATGGATAGCAAGTCCTCAGCAGTAAATGTTTTGCTTTACAGATCCACTCCTGCTGGACAACATAACTTACTCATGTACAGACATAGTCAGAGTGTGCTAACAATGTGGACTTCCCTTTCCTCTACACCTTTCTACCCATCTTCCACTCTACTCACTAACACTGACACGACAGATAAAATCCTTGTCCAGATGGTTTTGTCTATCCACAGACACCAAAGATCACACAAAATAACCAAAAGCCAAATGGCTCATGAATGCTCTGGTACCTGCATTTCCTCAGTGTTTCTAGGATTCAAAATTACTGCTCAAAAAAACCTATACGCACAGAGACAACACAGCTCTGGGAATCTGAAATTTTTACAAGCTCACCCATATTGAAAAAAAAAACCACCTGAACTTAAAGTCTTAAGCCAATTGCACTGGGGCAAAAAAAAAAGGCTTAAATCATTATACCTGTAAATGTTTCAGAAGTCTTACATGCCCACTTACTGGTTCATAATCTGCTAATGTAAAGACACTGTAACCAATATTTTATGTCCCAAGAGAGTGAAGACATTCTCATTTAAAGAGCTTTCATGCTGGGAAAATTGTTTTTTAAACAAGCCTGACAACACAAGGAATAGCAGGAGTTAGTAGCTAATATTAGGCATGCCTGTCTAGTCAGATGCATCTTCAAAAAGCTGAAGCTTTTCAAGCAAGATGTTTTTTCCAAACAAGGATAGACTTACCTTCTTCAAAAGCTGCTCAACTTCTTGCATCTGCACGCTACGATCAGTGGCAGACACTTTTGCATACTCTTGCTTTTTGCTGAGCCTGCTTTTCCAATCTTCTTCACCACTCTTCTTCAGCAATGCCAACCTAGAAGAAAAACCATGCCAACAGGTAGCTTTGAACACTGTACTTCCCATTATCCTCAAAAGCTACCTTTATTGGTTCACTAACGCTGCTTTCAAGAGAATTTGAAATTAAGTTTTCTAACATTAACTATAATTATTTACACTTCATACACATATACAAAGCTCACAAACACCAAGCGTTTACTGAACATGTTGAATGGGAATCATCTGTCAAAACACAGACACCTCGGTCTGAGACAGGCACCCCAGTTAATTTATATAGTCAGTGAAAATTGCCAATACAGTGAAGGGAGACCAAGGTACAATGCAGACCATCCTAAAGCAGACATATAAACAGGTTGCATTAATCACTGCTTTTTTCCTTCCCTTCTGTTCATAAGGCACAGAGAGTAACTAGCTCAGCTACGGATGCTTATGTTGTAGATGAGTTAATAAGATGAATCCTACCTTTGGTCTTTATTGTACTCATTAAAAAAAATTTAAAAAAATTATTTACAGTCCAAGAAGAAAGAAGTCTATTTTGCAGGCACCCACCAATTAGGTCTCATCAGGCACATCAAACAACAACTTTGCAGTAACTGCTTTCACTACAACTCCAGTGACGGAGGTTACTATCACACTCTTAGGGATCACTCAATATCTCCTTGCTTAGCTCAAGCATCGCTGTGACACAAATCAGTAGTACCAACGCACTAGTAACTTGGTAGTAACTATACTACATCTGTGAATTCTACCTGAAAGATTCAGCTTGTTTAAAGGATGACTTATATTTAAAATGTGGACTACCATTAATCTCAGGTAAGTAGGTTTTTTTTGAAAAATTTCCTAATCTTGAGCAAAATTCTCAATACAGCACAAAGGGACACTGACTTGCTCTGGTGGGGACAATATGTAGGTTTATTTTGCTAGAATTAGAACCTATTTGTCCATATAAACTCTGAGGTGATTAGTTTTGAGGGTAAGGGAAGTCAGTTAGGAACATGAGGTCTGCAGAAGCATGATGTTATCTTCCTCAGAAATTATTATTTGTATGAATTTTCTAGCTTTCAGAAATCATTCTTAGTAATCCATAAAATATATATTTTCAGTGCTTGTGCAAACAGTTGCATTAGTCCACTAAATTTTTATTTGAATTGACTTAAGTTTTACTACATAACTTTCTTTAACCTAGGGCATTTCAGTAAGGATTATACAAAACCCTTAACTCTATTGATATTTGAACAGGTCCAGTAGTTGAAGTGTTGGCAACCCATCACCTTGACCACAAGGTACCGAGATTTCTTTTTAGAGATGCAATTATTGTTACCCTCACAGTAAGTATTGTTCTGAAACTCTGAGGAGAAAGAAGGGGTAGGATCGAATAGGTCTCATCAGAAGCAAAGTTTCAGGCAGCTGCTTCCTGCAAAAATCCAGGGGGTGCAACCATGCTACTGACGTATTCAAGAATGACCAATTTGTCCTAAGGTAGTCATTTGAGAAAAACTGAGAATGCAAAACCCAGTAATTCCACAGAATACAATGGCAGTAAGAATGTTAGTATTCAAGAAAGCAGTTATTTCCTCTCTTCCTGCCCAGGCAGGCAGCGCTGGCAGGCTTCACATTGCCTGGTTGCTTCATACCTCACAGCACGGGATGAATAGGGGTGAGAAGGACTCACAATAAGGAGCTGAGGCCATGGTCATTGTTTCCAGAACGTATACAAGATTTCACTGCCCAGAACTAATCTTCTGGAATGCATCCATGCATGTGTGAAACTGTGGAGGAGACCAAGATGGGACTGAATTGCCACCACGCAGTTGAATTATCTTGAATAGTTATGTTCTCTTGGGTCAGTTTTGCTTAGAAATGATCTGTGATAACTGAAGCTGGAAGGCAATTTGGTCAGCTTTGGCCTAAGATGGATTTGTTTTTAAAGATATCTATAGCTGCTCAGCATAGCAGGCAGAAAATTTATTTATTTAACTTGACATTACTGCAGGGTATTTGCCCTAAACCTTTGCCCCAAACAGCTTGGCTGATCAGGAAGAGAAAATCTGTAATTTTAAGGTTTCTTCTGTGTCTCTGGAGACTTTGTTTTCTTCTCTGTCATAAGGACAGATTCATACTAGCGCTCCACTCTTCACTTGTATGAAAGAACTCATTCCTAGAGAGAGAACACACATTTCTCTGTTTTGAGGAATGATATCACCACTTAAAGAAATATGTATGCCCTGTATGCCATTGAAAACTTCACTGCTGTGTAGAACCTAAAGCCATGCATTTATTCTGAATGATGGAAATAGGAGTAAACTCACACTTCCCTGACTCAGCAACAATTTGAGGGCACCCTTTTGTATGAATAAAGTTGCAAGAACTACTGAAATGGTTCACACAAGCAAGCTCACTAGCTCAGTACCTTAACTCAAAGTAGACACAGCAGTTGATTCTTTGGAAAGTCTGCAAGAATAAGGCAATTATTTGCCTTAAATTTGAGGCCTGCTGCCTACTAGTTTAATGGCATACCTCTGTTTTTCCCCTTTTGATAAATAATAAATAATCATTTATTATTCACTTTCACAGTTCTATTCATACTGCTTTTGCCTCTAGAAGTTCATCTTCCAATCCCCCAAAAAATCAGTTTTACTCTTTTCTTCAAAAAGCTTTTTATATACCTGCCCATCTTTGACAGCTTGCTCTGCGGCCTTCTTCACCTGCTACTGAGACAATATCTGCCATCAAGATAGAATAATTGCCATCCCACAGGTTTCAGGATGGATTCAAAGGAAAAGTTTTCACAGCTGAAGGCAAAATGTTGAATTAATATTGAAGGGAAATAGAAACAAGATTTGAACAATGGTATCTTAGCCACTAGTTTTACCCTTGAGACAGATTAAACTGGACACAGTTTTGGCTTTCACATGTACTCAATTGGCTACACTTGATCAGTTCTTTTCACCTAAATCATAAATCTTGGAGGCCAATATGAGATAAGTAACTATAAAGAGGAAGCTGACTGTTAAAGAGTGCATAAATTCACTATTCAGTGGGGACTAGTCTGCATAAGAAAGTCTTGCTCTGCCATCTATAAGTCAAAAAAGATTGAAACTTAAGTTTAGGCTGGGCTCTTCCTGAGAAGGAATGAATGATGGTTATTAGTGTCATCTGTAGTTTTTTAAATGGTGATCATGCCATGCAGCTGACTTCTAAATCAGAGCTGACAGGGTGGCCTTCTAGCAACTTTGGTCTCCATAAACACATAAAGACAGGTAGTTACATGCCACTGATGCTCCATTCAAAGTTCTTCAAGATATTGCTCTTCCTCAAGGCAAGACAATTAAAAAAAGCCTTCCACCACTCATATATAACACATCAGTGGATTGGCCCTGACTACCTGAAACAAAACATAGACAAAACTACTCAAAGCTATGAGCCTTTGCTCCCTCTCACCTCCCCAAGCTGTGTGTTTGCCAAAGAAAGGATAGGTGTCTTCCTTGAAAAATCATGATTTTCATTCTTCCATATAATATAGGTAATGCTGAAAATTCCAGATATGCACTCACTCCACAAGGATAGTATTAGTTCAGTGAAGTAAGTCTTTGTGGAAAACCACTTTCATCCAGACCAGCATATGCATGCATCCTGCCCAAATAATATTACATCTGTGGAAAAGCTGTTCTTCCATAAGGTGAAAGAATGTCTGACACAGCCAGAAAAATCCACTAGATGGGAAGATGACGTTAGTGAATGTAATAGTTAATCTTTAGCAGAAATGTTCTTTTAGGTTTATGAATACTTGGCATCAGCTACAGCCAAGCAAAAGATAATGACTGGTTGTAATTTTTTAATTCTGAGCCAAGAAGTAGACTACGGTGGTATTTTGAAAGGCTAAAACATTTTGAGATCAGCTCTGCCATTTACAGATGTTTGTGGAATCAGAATATACAAATTCCTGACAAGACTGCAGGTACTTTCTTTTGTCAGCTTTGGGACTAACTAGACAGTCTTGGAGGCCTAATGAAAGCGATTCAAGATTGTGAGTGTGACTGACAGTCTTTAACATCAGTTCCTCAAGAGATCAACTCAACTGAAGCATTACATTTAGGACTGAAACAGCTGCTAATACTTGGATCTTCCCCCCGCTCCAACCTCTTTTTTCCCCACCAGGCTCAGGGAAGGCAGATCATTTAGCACCTATAAACCAGAATTTACTGGTCTTATACCTTATCTGCCCAGACAGTTGACATATCTGAAGAAGGGGGACAGGGGGGACAAAGGTTGATTTAAATAAAACAACAGTAGAGTCAAAAAGGTAACTACATCCTTCAAAAGAGGGACTAAGAATGCACAGCTGTTGCAGCTGCCCCTGCACCTTCTCTTTATGTTATGGGGGTAACAGAGAGAGGAAATGCTCTATAATTGAGGATGACTCGCATACCTCCTAGAAATACATGAATTTAAGAAGCATGCTTTGAATAATGTTGGGTTGTTTTGTTTTTTTTTTTTAAAAAGGGTTAGAAGTTCCTAATATCACACTCACCTCAGCAAATGAGGGAATACTTTTACACAATGAAAGTTTAATCAAGCAGCTATTTTTATTTCTTGGTTCTGCTTTCACTGCAGAAAAACTGATGTAAAAATAGCCCTATTTGTCAACCTGAAGCAAATAATCATAATTTTACTCACTGGACTGCTAACTACATCCTTTTACAGTTTGGGGCTGAATTTCTACTCTCAAAGTTTTAACTAAATTAGAATATCTTTTAGAAGTATTACAGCAGCTATTGGAGCTCCAGCCATGAACTCTGACTGTCTGCACAAGTGCAGAAGACCTAACATTTTGTTTCCGATCAGAATGATCTTGGGTTGGAAAAAATACTTTTAATACTCCCACAAACCTGTCCAACTTATTGCCGTTTAAAATCCCTACAGTAAGCTCTCAGAAGTTAAAATTACAACCATGTATTTCTCAAGTAAAGTGGGAAACATCACAAAGTCTATCCCTGACTCCCCATACTCAGCTTATTTAAAAGAGAGTACTCCCACAGACCAACAGAAAACTGGATATTAGAAAAAATAAGCACATTATACCTGTTGTAATTGAAAGCAGAACCTAGGGAAGTATATTGAGTAGATCAGTACAAATGTAACTAGAACATGTATTTTTACAACTTTCATCTTCTGAATTACTTATTGATTATTCAGGTGGCTCTTTCAAAATCAGATTATCATGGTCTCTTGAACCGTAATTCTCATTCACCATCATCTGCTTCATAAGCATTTCAAGCAGATTAGCTGTGTGTTTCTGCTGTTAGTATTGGACATCTCATAAAGCCTAATAATCACTGCTTAGCTTTTTCTGAAACAAGTTTAAAGCTTCTTTTTATACAATCAGTCTAATATCTGTACTTATAGAGATCATTTTTAAAATGTTAAATTTAAGTACCTTTCCTTAATTGACATTGTTTTGCTGGAATTATCAAGGACATCCTCAGTTGTTTGTGCTTTGTTCTCTCCAAAGGAAAACATCTCACAGGAATTCTTATAAAATTTGCCTTCCAATTGTTCGGAGAGCTCCTGCAGTCTACAGGATGCTACAGCTGCAGTTTGTGAAGATGTCCTCATTGCTGATGTGCTGGTGAGTTCAGAAGTAGGATCAGCATGGTCTGCCCATTCAAAAGAGAAGTGTTGAATTAGATTTAATGCTGTTCTCAAATACATTCTACATTACTAACACTGAAGCAGCAAATCTAGTTTTTAAAATTCAGATCACATGCTGTCCTAACAGAGAAAAAAATTGTCTGAGCTATAGTACTAAGATTAATCGTGCAATATTATCTGCTGCATAGACTGGCCACTTGTGACTGAAGTTCACATGAAGACACAAAATACCACGTTCAATACGCAACTCTGAAGTTCATATGGATGAGGCACAAAAATGCTGCTCCTGTCATCACACCAACATGAAAACAAATGGACAGATGAAAGTGAGAGAGGAAGAAAGAAGAGTAGGGGAAGAGAAGCAGACAAAATTTACATAAGAAATTAACTTATTGGTAAAGCAGTTAAATATGTAAGTAGCATACTAGAAGGACAATTAATAAAGGTATTATTTTTCTAGGAGGGTGATGCAGGCTTTTTTGGTTTTGTTTTTTCAAGCAGTAATTAAACCACAAGAAAAACTGCCTTGATGAAAGATAAATGCACCATTACAGTTATCCTTAAGGAAATATAACTGATCTTCCTTTTTTATTTTTGAAATTTTGCAAGCACAACATCCCTCCAATGTATGACTGCTCCTGTTGTATCCCATTCTCTGTCTCCCCTGCAGTCAGCAAAAATTAATTGGATAGAACAGACATTGCTTTTGAGGAATACAGGCAGAACTAACTTTATTCCCTATGGCTGTTTGAAGACCATTAAATTAAAATTAACCAACTTGCCAGGATGAAGACAAAAATGCTTCTAGCACTACAGGGTACTGTGGTCCTGTACCCTCTCATAATAAAACAGAAAACTAATACAAAATCCTTCTAAACTCAACAGAATAGAAGGCTCTATGCAATGAGCAAACTGACTGATTATTTCCAGAGCACTTTACTTAAAGATGGGCAAGTTTACTTATTAAGTTTCAATTATGCTGCGTATATGGAAATGTAATTGCTCAGAGAATTACTTGGTTTATATTTCACCACCATACTGAAGAGGAAATAACAATGGTTTTGCAAAATTAGTTATCTGAAAATTATCCCCTGCTAGCTATATATGTACATAGGTAGTTAATACAGAACTACATATGAACAAGAAGGCAATAATTAAGAGCAGACACTTGACCCAGAGTAGCAAGTTTAGCTTGTTCAGCATTTTCAAGGGCAGCAGCAAAGGCAAAAGAGGAAAGGATAAATCTCAGCTTCACAGAATCACAGAATTGCCTAGATTGGAAAAGACCTTTAAGATCATTGAGTCCAATCATTAACGTAACACTGATGAGTGCCCACTAAACCATGTCCCTAAGCACTGGGTCTAGACGACTCTTAAATACCTCCAGGCATAGGGACTCCACCACTGCCCTGGTCAACCTGTTCCAATGCCCGAGAACCCTTCAGCATATAATACCACTTTTTTCAAAGTAAGAAAATCTGAATAAAATTGAGACATCTTTAAAGGCAGAAGGATTGGAAGAATAACATACAAAACTGTATTTGCAAAACTTTTCAAAAGTATTTCTCTACCTTTAAGCAGCGTTAAAAAAAAGGAAAAATAACTAGCCTCGATAATGCTTGAAATGAAAATGTTTAAAACTAGAGAAACACTGCTGTTTGCTGAATGAGATTATGCTAATAGCAAGCATATACTGCACCTCTTTGCAAAGTCTTGTGTTTCATAACACTTTCCAAATCCACCTTTTCTTCAAAGGACTGGCCTTCTTTGACTTCCCATTTACCTTGCATGCGAGTATCAATTTCCTTCTGTTCAAGAGGCTGAAAAAGTGGTTGTGAACTAAACAGCTCCATGCTGCCCTTCCTCAGGAAGCTGTATGTTGTCTCTTTATGGTAGTCTCCTGTTTTTTCAGGAACAGGATGTGTGGCTTCTTCCTCAAATGAGCTGTACTTTGTAATTTCATTAGCTTCATGTGCTAGAAACCTCTTTCTCTCTTCTTCGTGCTTCTTTGTTGCTCTGTTGCTTTCTAGCACTTCCATTGAGGGCTGCCACTGTTCCGACTTCTGTGCACGTTTTCCTGAAGAGTCAGAGTTTTCTGCTGAGGAGTGGAATCTCGGATCAGCTCTAGTGGCAGAGCTCACGCTTCCATCATTAACTGGCTTTGTGTGCAGGTCTCCAGCATACAGCGGAGAAAGGGCAGAGGCCATTGTTGAAACTGATGTTGCAACTGCAGTTGACAAGGGGGTAATTTTTCCACTTTCATTCTGTACCTGTGAATAACAACAACAACAAAAGGACTTAAAAACTCTGAAGTCATCAATTCCTGAAAATAGTCTAACCATGGCAGTTCTTCAGACGTGTGCTGCTGCATAAATATAGCACTCTATAAATAAGAACTAGAAACAGTTAAGGAGAACAACAATGCCCCCATAATTTGGTTGCAGATGGATTATTCCACCCAGGGAAGAAACGACTGCATGTGAACAGCAACATCTTTAGTAACGAGGGTGTACGTGCAGCGTGCAACATGACGCTGTGTCAGGCCTCCAGGAGAAGGCGCAGACTGACACGGTACTGCGCAGCACTGGGGAAAGAAATTAGTTCAGGTTCCAGCTGCCGGGTGACATGCCATGTGCCCAGGCTAATCAACTCTGCATCTCAGCAGGGCTAATTAGCTTTGGCACAGCTCTGCTCTGATACAGTTATGCAGCTTCCAGCTCTGGCACTAGCTCAGCACCAGAGAGAGATTCTGCTCTGTGCTGTCCTACATGGGGCAGACATTCCTGATGCTTCTGCCACGTAAATCACCTTCACGCAGAACTGTGAGACAGTCCAAGACCTTTTCAAATATCAAACATTGGCTGTCACGTACATCTCTGAGCAAAGTATTTGAATCTAACCAGCATATTAAAAAAAAATCTAAATTTGCTTTGCTGGCCTCTACAGTGGAACAATTCTCTTTTCTACTCTTCTAACATAATTTCAGAAAGTCTTCCTAGAGGCAGTTAAGATGCAAAATTTTTCTGAAATGCGGAGCTTGGCTTTATCTTCTCCAAAAGAGACAAACACTACGAAAGAGACTGACAAACGTGCCTTCATGCACATCAGGAGAGGTTTGGGGTTTTTTTGTTGTTGTTTACTTAACCTGTGGGGCTAGTGAACAGCATGCATAGGAATAGGTAAAAATCACACCAGCAAGAGGAAATCAACTGAAAACTTAAAATGTACATGCAAATTCCATAAAGCATGGACAACACAGTTATTCGTTAAACAAACCAGAAAGCACAGCAAAGACTACGATGCTAGCTCAAAGATTCCAAAGAAAGATAAAGAAAATAGTTACCAGTTTACTCTTTTTCCATTGCATCTATCAGAATTAGAAATTTAGAGGAGATCAGCAAGGAATTTCAGCTTTAATTACAAGATATTTATGTTTGCAATCACTTATTTTGGTAACATAAACTCTAGATATCTATTTTGATGGCTTTCTTTTGTTTTTTCCCAGAAAAAACTGTAAATGCATCTCAAAACATCCCAGCATTCCAAATGAACAGTTCACTATAGAAAGTCTTTTGAAAATACACTTCTATTGAACTTGGTTCATAGTCAATTCTGGTTTCTTTTGCTGGGTTCAGAAAGAGATGACAAAACATGCTTCCTCTGCATTTCCTTGCTTGAAGAGCAAGTTTGTTCTGTAAAAGTCTGACAAACTAATGTGACTGCCACTGGCTTCTTTCCCACCTGCTTCAGCCCATTTCTGTTGATCACCTTCCTGGCCCTCAAACAAGTTAGTAACACAATCATTAAAGAGGCCACGCTGTGACAGTGGCTGGCATGTGGAAAGTGAATGGAAAGAGGACTTTGTAAAGTCTGGAAATCTTGCTAAATAAACTTTCCAAATATCTACTACTACTTCATGCCTAAGTAAAGTAGGCATAAAGTACAATTATATATCTGTACAGCTTTGCACCAATACATCTAGAGAAATCCTGCCTTCTTGCTATTGAATTATTATACTATGGAAAATGTATAATCATGAATGAAGGATACAGAAAGAGTAGCAACTTTCTAACACTCAGATTGATCAAAATCCCTAGAAATACAATATGCATAGGAGTTGTGCTTCACTGTTAAAGGGATTTTTTAAAAAGCTGTAATACTAGGGGACTGATGTTTCCGTTATTATGAACACCAGGTCTGAAAGACCACTGCTGGACCACCTTATGCTCAAACTTCACTAAAAAGGCATTCTTTTACAGTTGCAATTATATGGAGCATTCCAGAACACGAAGCCAAACTCCGTCACATATATTAAATAATTTCACTTTGACCATGACTTTCAGAATTTCAAAGGTATTCTGCTTTTAGGGAAAAAAATAGAAATAAACAGCAATGTCCCCTCCCAGAGGAAAATGACAGAATGTCTTGACTAATAATGGCAATATACAGTGCTTTCAGGAAAGAGTCTGAAAGTTGCACATGAAAAAGCTCCAAAATTCCCTGAAAATACATCTAAAGCATGATGACGTGTCATGCTTTTTACCCCTTTGGTCAGGGATTTACTTTTAGAAGACATGTAATATTCTACTGGAAAAGGCACACGCTGTGAAAGGTACAAGCATGCACTAATCACGAGGATGACATACCCTTGAAATACTTAAAAAAGAAAAACACACCAAAAAGTTGAACATTTTAGAGGATGTTGTTCCTCAGTGTCAGAAGACTGCTTCCTGATAAGCTTTTTCCTGTGAATATGTCATGACCCCAGTGTGTAGCTCAGAGCAAAGAAAAGGCCAGCTGTTAACGGCATTTTACACTAAAGCTTTTCTCCAATAAAAAGAAACAAAGGAAAAAGAGCTAAGATTGTACTTACCTGCTCAACTTCTCCAAGAGTGACTGGCTGAGTCTGGTAACGAGCGTTCATCCTCCTGTGCCTCATATCTCCTCGACTCCTTGTGGAGATGGCCCTGGATACTGGTTGAGACAGTCTGTTAAACAAAGCCATCTTTTCTGCCAAACTTAAGGTGGAAGAATCTGGTTCATCAGATTGATCTTGCCCCATCGCCTCTTTGGCTGCTCTTATCTCCTCTTTAGCTAAAATTTTTTGGTGTGCTGATGCCTGCAAGCTGAAGAAACAGAACTCGAAGTGAGTTTTGAATAAGCTATTATGAAGTTTTAAAATCTCAACCTAATAGAAGCAGAAGAACTGCACATGAAGCACAATAGCCAATGTAATATAGCAGCCTAAGTGGTTATGCAGTGGTTCAACATTGGCATGATGAATTCCAATTCAACAGCTGAAGATTTAAAAACAGTTAAATTTTCATTCACAAATTCATTTGATAAGGACACAACAATTTTTTAAAAGGGGAACTTTTAAAAGCTCAACAAGATTGAGAAGAGACTTCGCAGACCAATTTCTTTATACAGAATACAGAGCTACGGAGAAATATTTAGGATACCTACTGTAGACCAAACATGGGTCCTACAGTGCAATTTATGTAAAATTCAATTGTATTAGAAATAATTTGTGGAATATTATATGACAAAAACATTTAAAAGATGGATTTAAACTCCAAGTTAGTGTTGCTTTTAGGTTAGCATAAATTGTAATGCCTCATATAATTTGAAGCAGAACAGAATTTAGACTGTCTTTTATTTTGAGTTATGTGGGGTAACTCCATTGATTTTTGAAGACTGACCAATGCTGAAGGCAGGCACATTCATTCATAAAAGCTGTAACTGCATTTGTCTCTACAACAATATATTTTATTCACCTCTAGCTAGATTCAGTCACATTTATGGAATTAGTAGTAGTATTTTTTTATTTTTTTCTGTCACGGTCTCTACTGAAATTATCTCATTCAGAACAGGCAAACAGTATTCTGCAACTTTACCTATAGGTGGTGCAATTTCTTATCTTTAATTTTGCAAGCTAAAAAAATATATGTAGAGACAGACAAAGAGCATATGTACTGCTTGTGAAATCAAGCACCCAGCTTTGATATTTTCATTTCAAGATGACATTACTGTATAAAAAAAGAGTACAAGATACAAGAGCAAAGAGGGTTCTGCTAGGTTTGCTCACATGCAAATTCATTTTTTTCACAAAGAAGAAGAATATGCATCTAGAACAGGTATGTGTGGTTAGAAAGGTCCTGGAAACAGATGCTTGACAAAAAAAAGCTGCGTTGTTTTATCATGCAAACATAAACGAAGTTGACGAATGTTGTAAATATTCTTGAAACGAGTATTGACTTGACACATTGAAAAAGCATTCAAGACTCTAAAGATGCATCTGCTATTGAGGAATCTTGTGCTCCATGTAACATGCATGTTTATCCCCCCCAGTACCTGATAGGTTGTACAGTGCTCTTAACTACAGTGGGACTAGGTACTCTTGTCACTACTGTGTGGGTATTCACAGAACGTGAAGCAGGGGTAGGTTCACTTTAAAGAATTGTCAAGGAAAGAAAATTCACAGGGAGAGAGAAGAAAAAAGCATTAAGAAAAGCAATACATTAAGTGTTAACTACAGAAAAGACCAAAACCAAACCAAAACAAAACAGAACAAAACAAACAGCAATGATCTTTAATTCTGAGTTATCTACAGTGACCTCTGCAAAATAACTTCAAATACTTCGAAAGAACTAAAAACCTAGAAGAACAGACAGGTTGTCTCTTGAAGTTACTCATTACCAATAATATAAGATACCTTTTAGTAGACCATTAGGTGAACACCCATTCACCTTTGTTTAATTTTCCCCCAAAATTACTTTCCTTTTTTTCAGAAAAATTTCATGATGTATGACAAGAGTGCAAGAAGTACATTTCCAAAAAGTACATTTGAGATTTCAGAGTGCAAAACATTTTCCCCAGCACAAATACATTCCATAAGAAATTGTGTAGATTTCCCTCAGTGCAAAGTATCTTTTTCATTTGAATTACAAACCAATGCTATGATTAATCACGATTACGTAATCTACAGGTTCATAAGCCTTCTGCCAAACTTCAGTTCATACACGTTATGCTTCACTATTGCCTCTACTGTCTCTTGGTTTTGTCATGTGTAGTATATTAACCGGGGCTGACTGGAAAGGTGGGGACATTCTCTCGGGAATCGCTCAGGCTCGTTTTTCCAGGATTGTGATTTCGATTTCAGGGTCCCTTTTCGCTCCTCCGGCATTGTTATCAGCAGGTGGTGAGCAACTGTACTGTGCATCACTCATATATATATAGTTGTTACCATTATTACTCTTATTATTCTTACTATTTAAATTTTATTTTTACTCTAATTATTAAGTTGTTCCTACCTCAACCTAAAATTCTCCTCACCTTTACCCCTCCAATTCTCTCCCCAATTCGTTGGGTGAAGGGGAGGGGGGTTGGGGCAAGGGGGAAGGCTGTGAGTGGCTGTGTCTTGTTTAGCTGCCAGATGAGTTAAACTATCAGAACTTTTAAAAAGGAATTTCAATATAGCTTACCCTGTGGTTCCCAAGGAAGTTGGGCCTTAATAATAAATGTTTTCCTTGCTACAAAGTTGAAAACACCACATATATGGAATTTATTCCCAGATTTAAAAGCATGAGCCAAAGTTGGAGCCAACATATGTACAGGACTTACGTAGCTGCAATGACCACTTCCTCACTGGTAATTGGTTGTGTGTGCGATCTATCCTGCAAACGCCGCAGTCTTCTCTCTACTGCTGAACTTCTTGTAGGTGGTTTAGGAATATTTTTGAGTTCCAATGATTTTTCCATTTCCTAAGAGGACATATGTCATAGTTAAAATCATGGAAGAAAAGTTCTAAAACAGTACTTTCCTTTCAACTTTCCTGCATGCAAATGAGTAAATTTCCCAAATAGCCATATCTGAATCAGAAACAGGATGTAATTACACAGTAGGCATCTCAGAGTAAACTAACTACACATTTCTCTAAATGTCATTCTTAAAATAGGCTTTAGAGTAACAGGTCTTCTGTGTAGGTAGGCAAGAGGAAGTAAAAAAAAAAGTTACGTAGCTTGGACTTGGTTAACTGCATTACACTTCATTCTATGGGTTCTTCAGCATCTTGTATATGAAAAGTTCAACTCAGTCGTCCATTAAGAAAATGTAATACTTACTCTAAAAAGCAGCCTTTTTGCAGCTACACTTAGTTTGGCTCTGTCATCCAATTTTTCTTCATCTACACACATGGGAAAAAAAACCAGGGAGGTTGAATGTAATGAATCAAGCTCATATTAAGTGCAAAGGGTGTTTTTGACTAAATGATTTCTGAAGTCCTCCACAATTATGCTTTACTAAGACAAGAAGCACCAACAGCAAATAAGCTGGCTGTTACTCCCTTTTAACAAAAGACTTATCATGAACCAAAGTGTGTAAACTTCATTTGTATTTACGTGTATAGCATTAGAGGAAAATTCTTAACAGGATTTGAGAACAAAAGACTTGTCTTCAGGACAGTTCATGTGCTTTCAAACAACCTTTTATGCATAATCAAACATTATATTAGTCTATGACAGCACATGGACTAAGAAGATAATGAGACTGAAAGACTGCCTTAAGGGTCAGTATTCTTCCTGCTGCAGAGAACGTCTATTTTCTACTAGTTGACCGTACAAGATGGTCTGTCCTGGAAGCTGGTCATTCTGATTACCACCTTGTGTCCCCTCAACTCGTATCCTTAGGAAATGAAATCAGCATCCCCCAGATCCAAGAGCCAGCATCTCAAAGCTGCAGAGAATATCAGCTTTCAAATAGCATAAGGCATTAAATCTAAATTTAGCTACTCATGAGATTACCTACTTAATTTGTGCCATACTTGTTGAGAATGACAAGCGAGAAAGAGAAATAAGATGGCAGACTGGATTATATACTTTAATAACTAGCATCTTGCAACCTCCCTGGCTAGAAAAGTTCCACATCATATCAGTTTCATATTACAGTAAAGGCTTTTTTATCCATTAGTCCTAGACCACTGATTAAAATGTGTATTTTTTTCCACCAACTAGCTTATTTATTGTCTAAAGCAGAAAAAAAACCCACGCTACGTTAAAAAGTGTCAAGCCATTCCCCTTCTCACCTCCTATACAAAGTTAGGTATCCACAGACAGATTTTTGGACCTAAATAAATTTGAAATCAAGTCTGTAGTAGACATGACCCAAGGAAAAGTAGTACTTCAAACATATTATAGGTAATGACAGTTATTTTTAAGTGGATTTTGTTTGCATTATCAATTAGATCTTCAGTTAAAACAAAACACATTTTCTCACATTTCTTCCCTAGAAAATAGTATAGTGACATACCTTCAGCAGCTGGTATTTCTGCACTCAAAACTGACCTAGTGAAAAATTATCAAACAGAAAGAAGTTAGTTGGAAACGAGACATCACATCAAATTTTAAATCAAATTCCATCTGAAGTAGCAGGACCTCAAAAGTCTTAAAAGTGGGAAAACTTTATCTATTTTTTTAAGTTTCAACAGTTTCCACGTTGATATCCTTTAACAAAGGATATCCACTTTGATAACCTTTAACAAAGCAGAAAGGCAAGCAATTGCAGCCAAACTTAAATACAGAAAAGGAAAATGACTTCCAGTTCATCTTGCAGAAGATAAAAAGTCTAAGATTTGCTGCCAGCTCTTTTAACATAAAATATGTACTTTTGCTTACAAAAAAAGGTAAATGATAAAGCAGAGTAGATGGAAAGGAAACTTTCTATAAAAACAGACAAAAGCATTTATCATTAGACAGAACCAGACAGCTATAATACTTTATGATGATTCACTGTTCACCATTTTATATGGCAGGGATTTGAAACAAATTGGTTTTGTTGACAGTGTTTTGGTTTTTATTTTATAAGAAACTATAACAAAACTTGACTATTTTTTAAAGAGAAACAATAACTTGCAAAATGTTTAGGCTAATAAACGAATAAAGTCTCTTCACAAGCGTGTTCACGTCTACCTGGACCAGAATGCTACACAGAGCTACATACATGCCTACCTATCTGTCTCCTTTCGTTCTGCTGACGTTATAGGTTGCGTTTTAAATCTCTCAGAAGTCTTTCTATTTTCACCAGGAGTAAAATAGCGCCTCGGCCTTCGTGGCCCTCTTTCACGGTCACCATTGGCAGACAAAGTGTTACCTGCCGTTGACATCTCAAACCGAGATTCACTTTTAAACCACATGATAGAAAGCGCATAGAAAAGAAAACAGAAGAGAGAAGTAAAGCATAGATGTAGCATCTCAACAATTCACTAGAGATGACTCTGCATGCTCCTCCGGTAACATGCACAGACGTACACATTGCAGCTACCCCACAGCACAACTTGCACTAGCAAGCAGAAGCACAAAAGCAGGATTCAAACCATCTCAGCCTCCAATACACACTGGTGAGAGCTAAGCTGTGTGCTTTAAGTGCCGAACACAACTGATGTTGAGTGTGTGTAATTTTGCCAAGGACGTGCAAGTTTCACACGAAAATAGGTCTGAAATGTCACCTACAGTTCTGTTTTCTTGTTGGCATTAGCAGTCTCCAGAAAGACATTACGGAGCTGGGCAACAGAGACTTTTGTGTCAACCATGCCAATCTCACCATTGGGTGCATTTGCTTCCACGCTCTCCTGACTTTTAAAAGCTTCTAGCTTAGGAGCCACAGTATAGTCAGACATTGAGCGAGTCAGGACTTTATGCTTTGCTGTCGACACTTTCCGAACAGGAGCTTTTGCCTTGTCAGGCTGCGATACAGATCCACTCTGTATGTACATAACAGCTTCACTCCTTTCTATGTTCTCAGGGGTCTTAAACTGCTGCTCAGGAGCCTGCCTTTTATTGCACTCCAGCTCTCTTTGAACTTCTGAGTTAACTTTCAGTTTGCTTGCGAAAGAGGAACTCCCCACAGGGGCATCCAATTCTCCTCCAAAGATGCCTTCATGGTTCTTCCCTTGCTTGCGAATCTCAGATGGCAAAATTGGTCTTCTGCCTTTGGAAGCCTGTTCACCCTCCAAGGAATCTTCTTCATCAGGCTTTGTTCCATAAGCAAGTGCCTCTTTCTTTTTACTCTCTGATGCAGCAGCTTTTGTTAAGAGGCTAACATTGTCTGGTAGGAGGAGGCTGCCAACAGACATGTTTGCTGGTTCTTCTGTTGCCATCAGCTGAGCTGTGTGAGCAATGCCAGCAGGCTGAATATAGCCATGTATTGGTTCGCGGACTGAACTGACGGTCTGATTTACAACCCTATCAAAGGCAGAAGTTTCTGTCTGAAGAGGCATGTAGTGGGCTGGCATTGGATGGGATTTCCTCTGAGATACTGTGTCTGTGACAACTTCAGGGCTTCCACGAGCACTTTCCTCTTTCACCAGTTTCTCTCTAACTTTTACTCTTTAAGAAAGAAAAAGGATTGAAGCTGTGAACAGTAATACCCACTCTGGGAAGGAACAGAGACACCTACTGTGGGTACAGACAGCAATATTGTATTAAAATAAAAAGCAATCAATACACAAAAGAAAGCAATCTTATGATGCAACCCCCCCAATCTTAGCAGTAACATTGCTCAAAAACATTCAAGTGATCCACAGGCCCTTGAACATGCATGACTCCCGAGAAGGTAACCGAGCAAGCTCTGAAGATGTACCACATGTTCCCATGAGGTCACAACTGCATTTGTCAAACAGCACATACTCATAGTCTCAAACAAACAAAATGATCAAAACTGCTTCTTATATTATCAAAGTGTTTGGTTCGGCATGAAATCACAAATTCCACTGGCAACCATGTATGTAGTCAGATTTTTGAAGATGTCTAAATACTGGGCAGCTTATGTCATATCAAGGTGCTGTTGCACTGGGGAAAGGGATGTTATCACCACCCAGCCCTTCAGATTTTTGCCAGAGACTTTTTTACTTGCGCTTTTGTGTACTGTATAAGACATCTAAAATGTTACATGTAGTATAACCTGTTCCATTAAGTGAGAAAAAATGTTGAAAGTGCAAGTCTTAAAGCCCAAAATGAAACTATGGCATGGCTGTTGCTCTACAGAGAGCTTGCAGGGGAGAAAAGGATTTTAAAAAAACAAACAAAAACCTCACCGACACAAAACAGGCATTCTGTTTTAAAACATTTCATTACATTCGAACATGCAAAAGTTACAGGACTGTTCCCAAAAGTTACCTTACTTCAGTGTATTTTCTAGAAACACCTCTAGACTTGCGTAACATCCATGCAAAACAAAATTGTATTCTCTCTGTAGACACTTAATGCAACTGCACTGACGGAAGGTAAGCACATGCAGCCAGAGGTAGCCTTTGCTCTATGACTACAACTGCAGGTAAGTTCTCCAGCAGTTTTACAGCCACGCCAACTGTTTGGACAGTTTATAGGGTGAGCATTTGTAAATATCACATATGCAGTATTAAAAATGAAAGCACCTCCAAAATGGGTACAAAAAATGATTTTAATTCTGAGGAAGGAGAGAAAATAAAATACAAGAGAAGACTAGCTCTTTGAATATTTCAAAGTAAGCAATCCAGCTCAAAGTATGTGCAATTCCAGGCTTGCTACCAACAGACTTTTTGGAGTTTACATTATTAAAAAAAGGGCAAGATCTAGAAGAAAAGGCAAATGAATATATGAGAGAACATTCCAAAGTTATCTGAAACACCAACCTTTCTAGTATTTTGGTGTTTCTTATCTCTGAGGATTGGTGTACTTATCAGAGAAACTTCTCAAAGTTATTTAAGCAAAGAAAGTATGTTCAGTCTGAAAAAGTGATTCTTTAAAATACATGTACCAAGCATTCTCCAGAACATCCACACTGATGTTAGTACTGGGTTATAAGAATTACTTTAATCAGGAACAAGGCAAAGAGTCTTCCTGCAATGCTTCTCATGGTGGGCTAACTGTATGTGTTACCAAACACGGAGAAAGCAGCTGCTTGTAGCTCTGATCAAGATCTTGCTTTACTTTTTGATGTAATTTTTTTACTTCTTTTGTACCATCTCCTTTGGAATTCAAAGAATTAATTGTAGGTAATGCTTGGTGTATGGTATAAAAATCTGCTGGTTTGCAGAGTACAAAGTGGGATAAAATAAGTTATAAAAATTAGTGCAAGCCAGAATGATAGTAGCTGTGGAAGAAGCTAGGGGCGTTTGTCCTTTTTCATCAACACACCAATTGGTTCTAAGTTACAATAAAAGTAGATGCTTCAGAAAAGTTTCAACAGCTGTTTATCTGCAAGAAACAACAGTTTCTAACTTGCTGCTGTTAAAGGAAAATTAAAGGCAAGTGTTAAATGAAGACAGGGTAAAGGGAAAGAAAGGGGAGGTTTGTAGTCTGATTGTTAGCCACACAGCTATGTTTTATGATACCTGGAGGGCCAGCTGATAAGTGAAGGTGTGTCCCCTTCCGAATCTTTCTGAAGAAACCATTCAGGTTTTGCTTTCCCTGCACTACTACAGAAAACAGAACTTCAGGTAATTTTTGAGATCTCAACACATGCTCCCATTGTTTCTCCTAATCTTCCCTCCCCACTGCTTCTTTTCTGTTTTCTAATTACTCAATTACAGAGGACTGTTCATGAAAATAAAAGCACAGCACATTAATCAAATTGAAAGGTGATAAACTGTGAAACAAACTATCACATTAATTCCACAAACATCTAAAAACTGATCTGAATGTTAAATATTCTGCAAAGGTACCTTTATCAAGTGTACATTGTCCACAATATGAGAAGTGAAAGCAACTACACGTTCTTATTTTTGCCATTTGTCACTGCAGGTCAGTTTGAAGGCTTTATACAAGGACACCTGGAAAAGTTGCTAAAACCATTCCTTTAATTTGTGGTTTCAAGTGGTGAAGACCACTGGGTCCAAAACAAAGTAGTAATATGAATTTAATGAAGTTGGAAATTCAGATGGCTTTATCATACTTCCTAAGACACTCTCAGGAGCAGCCGGAACCCTTCTTTTCTCCTGTAGCCCTGTATCACAAAAGCTGCAGAAATATAAACCCAGTTATCTCAAGTAAAACATGCAGTGTCACTGGGTGACAGAGGAAAGGAAAAGCTTAAAAACAAAATAACCCCCAATTTGATCTGTTCTTGACTTTATTCTGTTTCCTTTTTGGAGCTGAAAGTATAAAAAGAAACAAGAGCACTGCAAACTTTTAAAAGCCCTAAAGGAAAGGGAGTCTGTAGAATACCTATATACAGTTTCTCAAATACTTTCCTAATGTCCACCTTTATCTACAGTCCCTCAGCAACAGTAGATCACATCAAATACTTCTAACCTTGCAAGCACAGACTGTCCGGCCATGCTAAAATTTACAAACTCCCTAGAGGTGATGAGTAGTCAGGCTGCTTTCCATTACCTATAGCTACATCTGAAAGAACACCTCACATTGCAGTAGAGCCATTTGGGATGAAAACCCTAAATTAGGCTCCAGGTAATTTACTTCAATTTTTCTTAGCTGGTCCTCTAATGAAAATAGTTGAAAAAGGTCAAATCAATGACTGTTGTTAAGATAACAGTGCATTTACTGCAAATAAGTTTAAATTTGAGAACTCACCTACAGTTGTCACCTTATCCAAACCAAGCTTAGAACAAAGTCAAACACTGACCCTTAAAGCATCTTTTGTTTTTCCAAATGATTTTGAATTCCTAAAGGAACTGACCAGATAGGAAGTAAAAACCTTTCACAAGAGCTGACGCAGTAGCTGGAATTGCTTTGAAGCAAGCAAACTTCCTTCTCGTCTCTTAGTGTGTACTTTGGCACATTTTTACAGCGGGCATAGCCCAAGCAGCAATTATTTGTACTTGATCATTCACCCTTTAAAGAGAGCAGACAGAAGAACGCAAACCATGTTTTGAATTTCGAGTTAATCAGCCACTCCAGCAGCCAAATGCAGATAATGTCAAATGATACCTTCTCAGCACTTTGTTGTCTTCTCAGTGATGGATAATAGGATTAATTATTAAATTGACTGAAGGTACAAAGCTTTTATATGTACTCCAAAGCAAGCTGCATGTATTTTCCAATTTGAACTCAGCAAATTTAAATCCAACAAACCCAATTTTGCAATCTGTATAATGCAGAACTGACTTCAAAATGGCAGCCACCTGGAAAACTGGCATTAGCTCTTATTTTGCTTGTGCAAATGGCCTTACAGGAGACTATCACATAATAAACTTTTTTGTGTAAGTAAACTTTAAACAGACTGCATGGAAACAGGCAATGACTTCTTTATCACTCAGAAACACGGACAAGAGTTTCTGAGAGGTTATTCTTAAATCTCTCAATATCAGACCAGTGAGTACTGGTTGTTGTCAGGGTATCAAAATGAAGAACGGGCTTGGCAGCTTGGCCTTTAGAATACCACCTACTGCCAGCATGCGTATCCAAACAAGAGACCAAATCCAAAGTTTAAACTCTTGTCTGCTGTAAGAGCTACACCACATCTTGGTGGGTGCAGATGATTTCCTTCAAAAGAAGAGACAGACACTAATTGTGGGAAACCTGTTTTACACAAATACTGACCTAAGCCTGATCCAGAAAGAATCTGGAATTAGTGATAATGCAGTCAGCAATTTATATTAAGTTAT